GCAGCTCACGGCTGCTCAGCTCGGGCTGACTCGAACCACTGTTGCTCAGAGCTCAAACTCTTGAGCGAGCTCTTAACCAACTGAGCCACTCAGTCGGCCCCTCCAAGCCTTTGTCAAATACACTTTTTCACAGGTGAGATTTCCTTATTTAGGTAGAAATGGATTTTGCTGAAGAGCAGGGTCCACCAACGTCAGAAAGAAATTCCACTACAGGATGCCTTCATTTCCTCTGCCTGGTCATCTCACTGGGTGACTGAGGAAAGTTGTGGGAATGAGGGTGACTTGCCTCTAGGCTCAGAAGCTCGCAACTATTTAGCAATTCCTGCCTCCAAGCATATAAGAGCCTCGGTTCCAGCAGGTAGAGGGGGCTCCCTTTGGGCCTCTTTGCTAGATATGAAAGGCCAAATGTTTCTACCCACAGTCAAGAGAAGACTCAATCAGTTCTCATCAAGCACAAAACCACAAACTATTTTGTCTGGCCATGCATAGCAGTTTCCCAGCCCCTTGCCCCATCACATCCGCTATTACCTGTCTGCCCTGTGGCCATGGCTGTAGTGAAAAGACATACATTATAGTGAGAATCAAAGAGAACCAGAGAGACTGATCTGTTTGATGCCTGGCATTTGGTCTGGCTTGGCAGAGGCAAGCCTTCTGTTTAGGAAAGTGTGTAGTCTGAAGTAAAATTGTAGGACTGACAGGTTTATTCTTAGCATGTCATTAAATGTCTTTTGTGTGAAATTCCAAATTAATGTGAATTTAGCCTGACTTCAATAATGCAGGAAACACAACTCCTAAGTAGTCTGTTTGGCAGGGTTGAAGTCCTCCTCCCCACCCCCATCGATACATAGCTGCTTTTCCTACTATGTCCTATAAGGAGATAGCCCAGGGTTCCATGTTCCATGCACATTAACCCAAACTTCATGCCACCTAGCATACACCTGTTTGGATCTCAGTGGCAACACCAAGCCCCAAAGAAGCAGATACAAGAGCTCCAATGGAACATGCTATTCCGTCTGCCTGGAATGGTCTACATGCCTGTGTCGTCATTCCCAACATGGCAGCCTCTTTCTTACCCTTCAGGTCTTAGCTTAGAAGTCAATCTTTCACATAGGCCTTATAATGACTACCCAGGGTAGATTCTCCAGCCCCATTCCTTCCTATACTTTCATGCAGCATCGTGCTCTTTCCCTTCATGGTGTTTATCACAGTTTGTAACTATGCATTTGTTTGCTTGTTCATTATTCTTGCCCACCACTCATTCAATCAAAAAGCACTGACTGAGTGCTCATTATATACCAAGATCTTTCAACATATTAAAGTATCTCTATTAAAGGTGCTTTGATTCTGGTTGAGGGGAGATAGAAAAAAAGCAAATAAGAAAATATCAGGTATTGGAAAGCACTAGTTTGAAAATAAAAATGGATAATTAGATGGAGAATGACGAGGGGGCTCCTTTATATTGCACGGTTAGGGAAGGGCTCTCTGAGGAGTTGACTTTTAAGATGAGAAATGAGTTAACTAGGGGAAGATGTGAGGGGACAGCATTCCTGACAAAGGAGACAACTACAAAGGCTCTATTAAATTTTAAGAAAGTAGGGGCTATGTCTATTTTGCTATCACTATATAACTAAGTACCGAGCATTGTGCCTGGGCATACTGGGTACTCAGTAAATATTTACTGAATAATGGGAAATAGCTCGATGCCACTTATGCATCAATCCAGCATATTCCTGCACTGTTAAGTGTTCCTACCTGGATCCTTGGTTAACTAATTGGAAGTTACACATGGTAGGAGAGATGAGTCCCTGAGACAAACTCAGATAATTTTTTTTTTTTTTTTAGCTGAGCCATCCCGCCACCTGTTGGCAGCTCACGGCTGCTCAGCTAGGGCTGACTCGAACCACTGTTGCTCAGAGCTCAAACTCTTGAGCGAGCTCTTAACCAACTGAGCCACTCAGCCGGCCCTTGATAATTTTTGTTTTGAACAAGGTAATTGGGTCAGAAGGGGCACCCAAGTCAGCCATCTAACTTCTCCCAACCCTCAGGAAACCAGGGACTTCTGTTTAGGATTATAAAAATAAATCCACGTCTAATATCTACTTGACCATTCGAAGATTCAAATGCAAATATCTAGAACATCTAGAAAGCAAAACATGAACAAGATGATTATGACCTGGATGAGGAAAGCAAGGAAAGGCTTTTGGTGGCTGGTAACTCACTTGGAAGGGCAGTGCCTCAAAGGAGGAAGTTGATGTTAACTGACATTCAGGCAGGTGCCACACATGCTAGTCATACAGGAGGTTTTCTAGCAACTTACCTACGGGCAGGAACAAAGGAAAAGTGAGCAGGTGCGTTTGGAGAGAAATTCCGGGGGCTGTCCAAAGGACTGTTACCTGTGGATGGGGAGAGGGAAAGATACCCTTAGTGAGGTTTGCTTCTGAGGAGGGTTCAGATGACCTCTAGGGAAGCATCTTCCCCGAGCATTGGCAATTAGCACATAGGGCTATTTTTTCAGGCCCACCATTTAGTTTAATGATTCTCTCTTTGTAAAAATTTGGCAGCACAGAGGTTTTTCCCTTTTTCCAAGTTGCCTTTAACACATTTATGTTTCCCATACATCCATTCTAGATCGAGCAGCAACGTGCCAATTTCCTGTGCTCCTAGTCAAATTAACCCAACTTTCCAAAGGCTTGAAGAACTCATTCAGTACAGATGGAAAGGCCAAATGTTCAAACATTTCTCAAAAGGCAACAGGATTCCTGGTCCAAAAGTCTCTTGCACATATATCTCTGTGCACTGCATACAAGAGGCTAGCCCAGATATATGGGTGCTTAAGGGAAACTGAAGTTCTCAGGTGAGTACTTAGGATAGCAGTGTTCCTTAAAATAGTCCATGTACAAGGCCCCCAAGACTGCAAAGCATGCCCAACCTCCTTACAGTGTAGGAATTACACCCATGTCTTGATTCGTTTTCACATGTCCCCTGAAACTTGCTAACTTAAAGCTCAGAGGCTCTGAACAAAATTGTGTGCTTATCTTTGTACTAATCACAGTAGTTCCTGAACTTAAGTCTGCGATACTTCTCTGGGCTAACTTCTAGCTGGGAGCTTGTATTTAGGAGCCCCTAGTTGACAGAAGCTGTCAATATATTTCTATCTAAAAGGCCACGTCGCAGTAAGCACCTCACTCCATGATGTGCCAACCACTCTGCGAATCCCTGCCCACCCCTGTGAACCAACACTGGCTCTGAGAAGTGCAGCTACCCAGAGGCCTGGTAGTTCAGCATGCCCTGGCTTTTTCTTGGATAGTTTGCTTGCTGTACAGGGTATGGATGTTCCAAGGTGCCGAGAAACTGCCAAATTATTTGCGATTATCTCCATCCAAGAGGGCCTTGTAGCACTTAATATTCTTCTGTATTGATCTTGGAAAAACCAGCCTCTCAAACAATGCCCCACTACCCTATGCAGCAACTCTGTATCAGTTATATAAAGGTACTTCCTTTGGGAGAACCAATTAGGAAGAGGCATTTTCAGCTTTCACTCATTCCCTTGACCAAAACACAAAACCTTATGCAGTAGATCTGCTCTCAAACTAGTACAGATTCTGGGTTTTCCATGTTCTAGGTCTAGAGCTATGACCTATGATCCAGTCCCATCTCCTGGCTAGTACAGGCCACTAGGGTGTGAGAGAAGTGATTTAGAGTAGTTGTTTTGTTAGCCAGGGCCTTAATAAGGATCAAGTCTCCTCAGAATTATCAAGGCCTTTTAAAGAAAAATCTCTGTTTTAAATAGTGCCATCTCAAGGATTAACAAGTACCCTCAGTTTGATTCTTGACACGTCAAGCTAGATGCCCTTTGTAGTTTCTTAAAACTACCTAGCTAAAGCCTCAAGGAAATTCTGGACATGAGTATCCTACAATGACTGGCCTTCCAAGGTCCAGGTGTGGTACTGGTTAGAGGGTAGAACATAAAGAATCTTCCAGGTGCTCACAGTAAAGCTAGGGCTCCAAAATCTCTCTCTCTCTCTCTCTCTCTCTCTCTCTCTCTCTCTATGTTTTCTCTGACCTCTTTGTTGGGTCCTGGGG